TAAAATACATCTATGATTTAGTCCAATTGAATAACAAGACTTGGTCTGCAATATGTGTCAAATGGTTTTTCAAGTTCACAATTATCACATACTATATTTTCACAGGGATGTAGTTAAATTTCACTTCATGTTATAGAACAGAACCCTAATTCTACCATAAAGTCATCCTCTCTTATATAAAAATAAATGCCTCCTCACCCTGCCTGCACAGTGCTGGAAGTGGTTGGAAGAAGACTAGATTCAGATCCAGCCAGCCCTAAGTTCACTGCACTTGGCTTTGCCATTTTCCATGTGTGTGAATCTGAACAAGTCATCTGTGGAGTCTCTGATTTTTGAAATAGGTGCTAGCTGATATTAGCTGTGAAATGCTAGAACTGATGCTAACAAAAGCAGTAGATAACTTTTGAGCATTTGCCCATGCCTGAGTGTATACTGAGTCTGGCATGTGGATTATCTCATTTAATCCTTTCGATCTTAATCAAGGCAGTGTACCCTTATTTTCAGTTTATCATTGAGTAAATTTAAGTGATGGCCTGGAGATCTTAATTCTGTGGGGGAATGGGTCTGCCAACCCCCTTATGCTTTTGTTAGCTTATCTTTATGATCATGGAAGACTTTGATCAGGTTCCATCAAACTTATGTTGACAGCTCTATACATTTCAACTAGTGAATGGGCCAGAATGTACATTCCTAGAAAGGCACATTTCTTAAAAGGTCTATTCTTTAGAAAATATCCTGGTAACACTATGGAATCCATAGATTATTTCATCAAACTTAAAGTAATATCTCAGGTGCTGTATTGCAAATATACCTTCTCTGATAAAGTTTTTGGGTCATTGTTCCACAGACAAACCACATCTGCTTACATTTCTGTATCATTTCTGTATCTAATTTTAAGAATTTGTATATTGTGGGTCTTTAAGATTCTTTGGAATGTAAATAATATAATATTTCATTTGAAGCTCAATATTAATTTCTTCTTGTGGGAAGATTAAACTATCTCCTCTTTGGTATTTCTCAATTTTCCCCCATAGATGCCGATGAATGCCTACTTTTTGGACAGGAGATCTGTAAAAATGGTTTCTGTTTGAACACTCAGCCTGGTTATGAATGCTACTGTAAGCAAGGGACATACTATGATCCTGTCAAATTGCAGTGCTTTGGTAAGCGTTAAGAGGATATTGTATGGTGTGAAATATATAAATGGAAAAAATAAGTAATGCTATGTAGTAAAAACAATTTCTTTGAATCCAAATCACATATTAAAACAACGCATAAATGTTTCATGGATCTCTTTCTTAAGCAAGATTTTTGAAATTTAAGAAAAAAAAACCCCACCAACTATTTGAATGGATTTCAAACAGTTAATATTCAATGTGGAATTATAATTCCGGTCACTGGTATAACTGAAATGTCCTTTTGGTCTGTGGAGCCTCCTGCTTCATCACTCATACCAAGCAAGTGAAAGTCACTTTAAAATGCTGACCCAGACTCTAATGCTTAAAGCAGAAAACCATATACACTAGGCAGAAAAGCATAGAAAAGGAAATAACTTTAAAAATATCATAAAAAGGCATTTTATCTTAAATTTCAAAACGTATCCTGTCCATAGATGTTTTCTTTCCATATTTAATACCAGTGGTGGCGGCAACATTATTTTTGCAGTCAGTACAACTTATCGTTTTTAGAGTCAGAGCCGTTCTCTTTTGGATGATGATTTGTAGTTAATTAAACTTGCAGCAGCCTCTGGAATCTGGACTAAATTTAGCTATGTGTTAACTTGAGTAAGTATCTGAGGTTCAACTGATTGTTGATTTGCTTTAGTAATTTTTTTTTCCTCTGCAGATATGGATGAATGTCAAGATCCCAACAGTTGTATTGATGGCCAGTGTGTTAACACAGAAGGCTCTTATAACTGCTTTTGTACCCATCCAATGGTCCTGGATGCTTCAGAAAAAAGATGTATCCGACCAACGGAATCAAATGGTATGTTTGGATATGAGATGCAAACTTATGTCTAGATAAATACCATAAGGTTTGTGTTTTGACTAAAGTGTGAACTACTAAAATATAGAAAAATTGATTTATTGAATATTTTGAAATGACTAAAGTGAGATTCTAAGATGCATATGATTGACATATGAGAGATTTAATGTTTTGAACATACTCACCAACTGGGCAGCAGAGTAGCACAGAGCAGAAGACAGAGCTCTTCCAAGCCCGAGGTCATCATACTTGACCTTCAGAGGCAGATGAGGAAGATGTAAGTTCAGGGAAGGCTAATCAGGGACATACTGTGTCAAATTTGAGAGCTTTGGTAAGCTTTAAGACGATATCATATGGTGTGCTGTGAAAATATACAGATGGAAAAAATAAATAACGCTATGTAGTAAAAACAGTTTCTTTGAATCTAATCTAGAGGGAAAGACACAGATGAGGCTAGGTAGAAACAGAGGGTGGAGTTCTACAAAGTGGTAGAAAGCCCTGAAATCCATTGGTAGGAATCCCTGTTCATATCTGATGAAGTGGCATGCCATTAATAATAGGCATAGCTGGGCTGGGGTTGTGGCTCAGCAGTAGAGCACTCACCTAGCACGTGCAGGGCCCTGGGTTCGATCCTCAGCACCACATAAAAATAAATAAGTCAAATAAAGGTATTGTGTCCAACTACAACTAAAAAATAAATCTTTAAAAAGAAAATAACGGGCATAGCTAATCAATCAATCACCATATTCAAGAGATTGCTTTGGGTGAAGTCAGTTGAAAGGTAGAAAGATTAGAACTGAGGAGAACTGTTCTCGTCCAGGGTGCTGGCAGATGAAATGAGTAACAAAGCATGAATCAAAAAAGAAGAAAAAATTAGAGAGAAATGGTGGGATCCGACAAAGGAGTAAATGTGAAAAAGTGAAGACTGGAGGAAGTCTCTCAAGGACAAGATAGTGGGTCACTTTATATGACAATGCCAGCTATGGAAGCAAGGATTTAGTTGGAACATGATGGGCAGTCTGAATTTTAGCTGGTGGAACGACGCTCAATTGGAGATGACAGAGGTTTCATTGTGGAAAGACCAGGCTAGATTCAGACTTTTATTTGGAAGTCACTCTTAGACGTAGGAATGGAAACTTTGACGCTCGCTGGCTTCCACCACAGTGTTGATGAAATAACAGTGCAATTGTCAAGGAACCATCTCTTCCCTTTTAGAACAAATAGAAGAAACCGATGTCTACCAAGATCTGTGCTGGGAACATCTGAGTGAAGAGTATGTGTGTAGCCGTCCTCTTGTAGGGAAGCAGACAACATACACCGAGTGCTGCTGTCTGTATGGAGAGGCCTGGGGAATGCAGTGTGCGCTCTGCCCCATGAAGGATTCAGGTAAGCCCAGATCCACTTTTTTTCTGCAAGAAACCTGCAGCAGGTTCTTCTCACCTCCTCTGGAGCCTGACGTTTCTCTTTTATATCTTCACTCCTTGGGTCTTACTTCATCACAGGTGTGTATGTACATAGGATTGGATAAGTCTATGGCTTCGGGTTGGTTACCTGCATGCCAAACCCTGTCATGAATTTTTGAAACCATCATTCTGTTTCCCAAAAGAATGATAAATGACCTGAAGAAACGAAACTCGGCCATTGGTGACGTATGTCTGTGTATTTCCTAATACTTCATTTATTTTCTATAATCCTCATTCCTAGCAGTTTCTACATATAGCAAAATATATTAGATCCTTCTAGGTCAAAGTCCAAAATTTAACGTCAGCCTGAATTGAGAAGTACCTAACCTGACAATCCAAAGTCTGAAATGCTCCCAAAAGTTCAGATTTTAGCATTAGGGCTACTCAACTGGTGAGATGTATGCAAATATCCCCAAATCTGAAAAACTCCAAAATCTGAAACACTTTTAATCCTAAACATTTTGGATAAGAGATACTCAATCTATATAAGAAAAGGATTATAACAAAAAGGAAAGAAAGTAGAAGTAAATGAAAAATTATTTAAACAAATCTGCTTTCAAGTTTTAGATCTGCCATCAAATCTTTGGTCAAATGGAAAAAATGAGACAGGCTAAGGCCCCAGCTTTGTCCCACCTCCTAAGTGTTGGAGGGCGGCTAGAGGGGCTTGTGCCAGGTTTCCTGGCTGGGCTGTTCAGTGTCTGTTGGGTTGTCCACCAATGGTTCACTTCCCTCTTTACCACTTCTCATTTAAAAGAAAGGCACTTAAACGTGTTTGGTATATCATTTTGTGAAATTGATGTGTTAAAGCTAGAAAAACAATGTGTGGGTGTAAAATGGAGGGTTTTGTAATGAGTATATTCTCAGGATAGTTAAAAGAAGAAGAATTTCTTGAAGAGAGAAAATGCATAAACTTTCAGTTAATTCAATTAGAATTTTTCTTTCAAGCTATTTATTAATTAACTTTCTGGCTTAGAAATAACTTAAAACCAATGTAGCATGAAAAAAGAAAATAATTTGAAATGCCACAAAAAGAAAATGAATACCAGAGGACAAAAAAAATTAATAAATAAAGGCATAGATGGCAGCCAGCTATTGGATCTGGGGCCAGATGGGCTGAATCTGAAATCTGCCACAGCTGCTGCGTGCTCAGGGGAAAATAGCCTCACCCTGCGTAGCTTATTTGCAAGGCTGGGCCACCTACTTCTCCCTTGCTGGGTTGTTTGTAAAGGCTGGGAGGACTTGGGCAGAACAGGGTGTGGTTACTAGTGCTTCTGTTGTCTTGTGCCCAAGAGGCAGATGCCCTAGGAGATGAAAGTGAAATTAGTAGAGTGAGCACTTAAGTTTGGGTCATTTTCTCACAATGTTCTAACACCTCAACTTTTTTTTCCTTTGATCTTTATGCAATATTTCTTCATTTTTAAAAAAGATACATGCTTCTTTTTTATAATTTCTTTTTTTAATATTCAGTTTTTTAGTTGTGGTTGGATACAATACCTTCATTTTATTTATTTATGTTTATGTGGTGCTGAGGCTCCAGGGCCTCGCACATGCTAGGCCAGTAGTCTGCCGCTGAGCCACAATCCCAGCCCTAATACATGCTTCTTCTAAAGAATAAATAATCAAAGATATTATGTTCCCTTCCACCTATCCCTTCTTAAAGGTGAACTTCCTACCTTTAAGATGCTCATCCTTGAAAGCTGGGTTTTTATCCCCTTAGATTTTCCTACACATTGTTGTATATTTATATAAGTTATTATTATGATATATATATAATATATATATATCATAACAGAATATTGAAAACTGAAATCAATGTCACCAGTCTACATTACACTTTGTTTTTTTGTTTTGCACTATCAGATGATCCCAATTTCAGCATCTCTGAAATTGGAGTCATCTGATAACCAATGGCACCTGAAAATGGCCACAGGCCATCCTGTTACATGTTAACATCTGGTAGATGGGAGGACATTTACCATCTGGGGTATCTTAAAATGGGTGAAAGATGGTAACTCGAGGGGCTGTGCAGAATCTGTTGTATAGATGCCCTGTGGTTCATTTACCACATCTTGTGCTAGCCATTTGTGTAATTCCTCCCCAACCTTTCCCCACCCCAGTCCTAATTTGCTGCTATAAATAATGCTGCAATGAGCCTCCACATAGGCACCTGCAGGAGTGCCTTAGGAAGAAAATCCTTATAAATAAAGATACTGGGTCAAGAAGTATGTATGCTTTCAATTTATTTCCTGAAAATATTGTAAAAGTTCACACTTACATTGGCAGTATTCAGAAATGCCTCCTTCTTCATTTGCTTCGATCAGTGTCTTTAAATTTTGTTGTTCACGCTGGGGACTGAACCCAGGGTCTCATGCTTGCTAAGCACAAACACTTATCACTGTGCTATGCCCCTAACCCCTTTAAAATGGTTTCTATCGGATGGGTGCAAAGGTAGTAGTCTAGGAAATTTGAACATATTTTTTCATGTTTATAGTTGATTTGTCTTTCTCAGTGAATTATTCATCATATTCTTTGTCCTTTTTTTGCTGAATTCTATGTCTTTTAAAAATTTATTTATAAGTTTTTTGTACATATTCTGTTTATAGCCCTGACATTTGGGTGACAGTATGCTTTTGGTTATGGGAACTCCTTTATGAAAAGGTTTGCATATATTTACATTTTATTCTGTCTCTAACCTAGTCCTATGATATAAATATTTAAATATTAAAATTTTAGTGCCTGTGTCTTTGATTAGGCAGTTCCTTTGATAATCAAATTTAATTGACTGAGTTTTAAAAAGACAACAAATATTCAACTAGGTGTCTCTGATCAAATGCATTTTTAAATGTAATTAAAATCTAAAGATAGTACAGTTTCCTAGTAGCATCAGAATATAGCTAAGGAATCAAGAAATGAATTTCAGAATAATTATCAATATTCTAAACATGAATTCTATTTTAAATATGAAATCTCTTCTAAGATGGATTTTACAATGGTGCATCAATTATTTTCACTGGAGGTTTTAAGAAACACATTTTTAATTGCAAATTCGAATGAATGAATGTGAAGAAATGTATACTGTATCATACTTTAGGTTCCAGGGAACACATTGGAAACCACTGTTCTACATGTGTCAGTTGGAGTAAAGGAATTTGTTAGGCAGCCCAGAAAGCACATTTATTTTATTAAGACCAGAATTATGGTGCTAGAACTAAAGTCAGGAAGAGTGTATCTGAGAGAAGTCCATGCCCAAGTGGAACAGGTTTTCCGAAGATCTGATGAAGAGTTGGCATTCCGTTGGTTAAACCTGATCTTCTAGTCACAAGTACACTAAACGCCTTCTGTTGGGCACATTTCTCTGCAATACTATAGCTGAGAGGAACCAGGGCATGGGTTCTGGAACCAAGATTGCCTGGCCCCGAATCCTGGCTTGGCAACTTCTTATGTGCATGACCTTGCTATCTCGTCTCTGTGTGCCTCAGTTTCCTCATGTGAAAATAACATCACCTACCTCACAGGGTTGTTTTGATAATTAAATACTCTAATAGTAAAGTAGTAAAATAAACATGAAATAGTGCTCAATATATGATAAGACTTTAGAAAATATAAACAGTTATTACTACTACTGCTAGGTGTCTCTTATCCAATGCATTTTCAAATGTAACTGAAATCTAAGGATCTTATAAAATATATGATTACATCATAGCACCTGTATATGAACTGAGGATTGACAAATGCATAAATAATTTTTCTCAAAATAAGTCTCTCTTCTAAACCACTGATTCATAACATTAATGAGTAGGTCAGTTATCTGGGGATTGTATCAAAAATCAGATTGCAGTTCATTGTAGAGGTCGAGGGTGCAGGATTCTGCATTTCTATCTAAAAGTTCCAAGCATCAATGCTGGTAGTCCTTAGACTACGCCATCAAGGCTCCAAAGACATTGAACAGCACCTGACTTTTTGTTAAAGCCTACTTTAATGCTGGTAGTTATTACTTGTTGAGAGGAAGCAAAGGTCCCTGATTCATGCAGAGTTAGTTTCTGTAAGAGGTGTGTGTTTTTGTATGTTCTGTGTCCAGCCAGCTACATCTTTCCTTTTGCGGGGGGATGAAGAATATGTGGATTTTGAAACTAACTCCTATGCTCATAATTCCTGTCTTTGTGTCTTTTAAGCATGCTGTTTCTAGATGTCTTGATATTGTGATGGACCAGATTATCTGTTTGTTAACCTTAACACTGGACTAATCCCACCCTGCCAGACACTGAACTTTGCATTTTCTTAGGAAGCAGCACAGCTTTGGGGAACAATTAGTTACTGATGGAAACAGTGCTGGTGGAATTTGAAGAATAAATCGTACCACTTGTCGTCAGGTTTGAGCATTAAAGTGCGGTGTAAAGTAAAGCTTTGGCTCTGGAGCTGGCTTTCACACTTCGGGTCCAATAGGTCACGGGCATTAATTCTTGCTAAAGCCGCAGCCATATCCGAGAATAGTGGTAGGTGGAGGAGGCAGGAGCGGCTGGCTCCCTCAGTGGCGTTCCCTGAAGTTAGATGGCATCTTGTGGGGTGGTGCTACATGCAGGGGAAATGAGTGGAGGGTGATGGATTGTGTTGGGGTAACTGTACATGAGGACAATTGCATGATTGTATAATTCAGTACATTTCTGGAGTCGCTTGAGATCTCATTTGAGTCCTTAGCTAAAGTCACCAAGGTCAAACAGCAGACTATTACTGGAGAAAGTTCCAGGTTATTTGTGGTGGTGGTCAGTTTTGCACAGTGGTCATAGATGGCAGCCTCCCCTCCCACTTCTAGAACTCTGGAAACTTCTCTTGTTCTATTCCTGCCCCTGCTTCTACTTCCTCTCCTCTCCTCTGGTCCTTCCCACTCTTAAAATTATTTTGGTAACTGAACTTCATTGGAAAGAT